GCTCTGAGCTCAGGTGCCAGTTCCCGGAGCCCTTTCCTCTGATATTCTGGGCCCGTCTTGGAAAGTTCCTCCTTGACCCTCATGAACCCACAAACCTCTGTCTTCCCAGGAAGGTGTTCCTTCATGGAGTACAACCTGTTGGGAAGAACAGCCAGTCAGTAGGTGGGGATCACTCCTTACCAGTCCTCTCCTCCTTTCCCACATTATTTCCCCATAATGCCAGGAAGCACGACTCTCCGTCCTTCCCCTGCGGTGATGGGACGCAGGTGATGGGGAGAGAAGGCCTCTGTGGGGCTCTCTGACAAGCCCTGCCAGATCCTGCCGCCCATGGTCAGTCCTGGAAGGCAGTGACCAGGGGCCCATCCAGGAGATGAGGGCTTCGTCAGATAGTCCGGACAGCAAGGGACGAGGATCTAGGAATAAAGTCCAGAGGAAGCCACAGGGGTTCTGGGAGCAGAGGCCATTGCCACTGGGACACAGGGGATCTGGATTTGCTTCTGCTCAGCCCACAGCCTTTCTTCCTGCTCTCGTGTGGGAAGGGGTGCAGGCCAGAATGACTTCCTAGATGTGTGTGTGCTGGGCCGCTGGTGCCTGTCACTCACATGGGGCTGCTCACCCAGCATCTCGTTTTGAGCCCCTATTCATTGGGGGAGCCATGCTGGGCATGAGGATACTGCTGTAAGGAGTTAAATGTGCCCTTTCTCTCACAGGACTTGACGTTCATCACCCTATAGGTCTCCTGTGTCCGACAAGCAAGTGGGCTTGCCTTTCACACACTTCGAAACTCATGTACAACCCTGGCTGGGGTGTCTCTGTTGGTTGGGCAGCGTCCTGTGCACCTAAAGGTTGCTGGTTGGATTCCTGGTCAGGGCACACGCCCGGGTTGCAGACTCGATCCCCCGTAGGGAGCATGCAGGAGGCAGCCGATCGATGTTACGCTCTTACTTTGATGTTTCTCTCTTCTCCCTTCCTCTCTAAAAATCAATAAACTATTCTCTAA